TTATACTGTTAATAATTTCTCACGTGTATACCGTGTGCATACTTAGAGCTCTGAAGGTAGGGGCTATGGTTTATTTACCCTCTATTCTCAGAGTCCAATCAACACAATTTTCACATACTAGATCGGCTCCTTAATATGCTATTCATTCATTCATTTAACAAGTATCAATATTTATTAAGCATCTTCTATATGCCAGATGATGCACTGGGCCCTGGGAATGCAGCAGTCAGGAAGAAAGTAAGATATAGTGGCTGGTCCCAGGGAGCTTACAGCCTACTCTAATAGAAGAGTCTAGGAGAGAAAGACTTTAACCAAAGGTGTATATTCTACCTCCAGATCAAACTACAATAATAATCTAAAAATGAAAAAAAAAAACCTTATACCAAAATACTCACAGTTCAAAAGCATCTGAAGTTCAGAATCTTACAGCATATACTCAAAGTATCTAAAAGCTAATACAAATCACAGCCTATTAATTTTAACAGATAACTTTTCTATTGTTTGATATAAGCCACACACAATACTTACCTTTCTAAAAACTGTCTAGCTCATATTTAAATAAAGTTAACACATTTTATATATGTTTTTCCCCCTAACTCTGTACTTCCATAGAACTTTTAATCCAAAATTCCATATGCTTTTTACTCATTTTTCACAAAATCCTCCCCCAGCACAGAGACATAACAGAAATATAAAGTATTCCTAGTACAAGATCAAAAACCCAAATATCAAGAAATCAAACTTCATTATGTATGTCCAAAAAGAAATACCAAATACAATTCAAAGTAATGTGGCACTTTTCTGAAGTGGAACCTTAAAGAGACAGGATCACACCCCAATCAGGTGCAGACACTGGTTGGGCTCCTTAGTTCTCATAACAAGTGTTAATCCTACCACCTGTCCACCTAGCTTTCAGAGGTTACAGGTTTATCTATAATTAGGTATTTAGAAGACATGCAATCAAGGATGTATCCAAGGATGGTTAAAAAGATTATTTGCCAGGGAAAATGATTTAAGGAATTAATATACATTCACTTCTACAAGTGTAAATTTCATGCTTGACCTAAAAAACTGCAATGTTTGTATATTTGGACTACAGAAATGGCCAAAAACTGAGTATTTTTTTCACATTTCCCTCTCTTTTTTTTTGCATTTTAATTTTTTTATTTTATCTTTTTTTTAACATCTTTATTGGAGTATAACTGCTTTACAATGTTGTGTTAGTTTCTGCTGTATAACAAAGTGAATCAGCTATGAATTTTTTAAAGTTGCATTTTCAGTTGGATACCGGAGATAATCCTATGAACTCTATAGCTGCTTTGGTTCAAAACTGTGATGGGGAAATTGTTTTACAACATTACTCAATATCACCCATATGGTGTTCTATATGATTTTTTTTAAGGTAAGATTATTTTCTTTTTTTATATAAATTTATTTATTTTATTTATTTTATTTTTGGCTGCGTTGGGTCTTCATTGCTGCACACAGGCTTTCTCTAGGGGGGCGAGTGGAGGCTACTCTTCGTTGCGGTGCGCGGGCTTCTCACTGCAGTGGCTTCTCTTGTGGCGCACGGGCTCTAGGCGCGCGGGCTTCAGTAGTTGTGGCTCACGGGCTTAGATGCTCCACGGCATGTGGGATCTTCCTGGACCAGGGCTCGAACCCATGTCCCCTGCATTGGCAGGCAGATTCTTAACCACTGTGCCACCAGGGAAGCCCCATATATGAATCTGATATAAGGAAAAATTTGCTCTACTCTGAGGAACTTGTACTTTTCCCTACTCATCTGAGAGTTATATACATGGTTACATTTCCCTCTCAGACTTCTTTTCCATGTTTAACCCTCAATTTCCACCACTCTGCTTCTGTTACATTGGCAAACGAATGAATGTTGGAAAAGAATAAGTATAGAATGATAAAAGAGCATATTAAAGAAGGATTGAGAGGTTATTTTCTAAAAATAAAATCAAAAATCAAATTTACCTATAAAGTTACTTAAAATATGTATTTTGATTCAACTAAGATGTGGATTCAAAAAGGCTCAAAAAATACAAAAAGCTAGTGACAAGCCAAAAGTACCAACAAACAGGCCTACAAGAGGTAGAAAAAGAGTTGAAATATTTTCAGACCGCTTTCCGGTTCTGTGACTACAGTATTAGTTTGCTGAGAGTGACTCTTAGGTGAAGCAAATAAATGCTAATTACTGACGTTTAGATTAACCTAAAAGAGGTGAAGTTTTATACATGTTAAACAAAAAAGCCAAGTATCAATATATAGCAGTAATTATTATACAACTAACTGCAGAGCACAAGTCAACTTGACATTAAAGTATAGGCACAAAAAATCATTCCAATAACCTACAGAATGTATCATGTGTGTATTTCCCCACCCTACACACACTTGGGGGGAAAGCAAAGCTATGACAGATCGTGGTCCTAAGGCTTTTTAGAGCAAATAAAATGTCTCTAGACACAGTGGATGAAATAGTCTAAAAAGAGTCAGGGCCAGGGGGTAGGTGGAAATCAGCATCAACTGTTAAGTGAAGAATATCACACAAAAATAGAAAAAGGGGAACCTCTTCAATTTATATGGTATCAAGAGGAATACATTTCTTCCTACAAAAATAACAGTCTCCTAAAGCAACGGCATGAGCAACCCCATTTTCCACCAAATAAGTCTTTACAGATGACAGCAAATGTCTAAGACACCACAGACACAGAGGGTGCCTTTAGGTACACCAGAAAGGGTGAACCAGGAGTGCTAAATTCTTGTAACATAAAACAAACTTGAAAGCAAGAGCTTACCAAACTCAAATCAACCCATTTCAGAAATATACAACAAGGAAATATACAGCTGGCTTCATAAATATACATAAACTTAAATTCAGAATTATAACTTCTGTTCTTCTAAAGGACCAATCACAACATAGGATTAGTAAATCTCTTAAATTTCTGGGAGAAAGCAATTAGATCATTCCATCATCTACTAGGGTCAAAATACCAACCTTCTTAAAACTGAAAAACAAATGTTTCAAAGTAAATCTCCACTGGCCTGTTGTTCATGGTCTTTTAATACATTTTAAAAAGATCTTTGAAACAAAGTTTCATTAGTATCCTTCTAGAAAGAGCTCTAATATCTTTCATTCTCCTAGCAATTGAAAAGCTACCACATGTTCATTTCTACATTAGATTATTGATTCCTTGCCTTTTAACATCTCCATAACAGCTGCTTGACAAATTACCTCACCTTATTCCTCAGGGGGTAAGGACAGCATAATATCCATGAATTCAAAAACGGGACCACAAAATGATCAGTGACAGATGAGCTAATTGATTCACATAAACGAGACACTGCTCTAATAGGCTAGGCATTCATAGCATTATACAATTAAATGCTTACGCTCTAAATATTTTATTTGTCCTTAAGGATACAGGACAAACACTTCTTAAATTACTTTTATTTTAAAATATATGTTAGCTTCATAAAGTCAGTAAGCTTGTACATGTTTGCAATAATTTCTACAGAAAGTCTAGCTTTCAGAATAATTATTCTGAATAGTTTGCACAACTTTCAGATTTAGCTTTCTTATTCAACCTAAGAGAGCTAGCTATAAGCTCCAAAATAAGTCTACTCATAAAGCAATTTTTAAAATATTTTCCAGATTTTTAGCAAAATAAAGGCCAATTATATTTTCAAAGATACAACATATTTCAGACAAGTACAGTAAAATATGTCTATTGTATTTTCCTTGGTTCATTCTGATTAGTGTCAAAACAGTATGAGATACAGAGAAAAAAATAATTTGTATTTATAATTTGTATTTAATATAATGTGTACATAATTTGTATTTGTATGCCAATATAATCTTGTAGACCCCTACAGAAAATGAAATATTGCTTTCCTCCCCTAAGAATAACAAAATGATGTGGATTTAAAGGACTATGTTAAATGAACAAGTTCCAGTCAAATTACTCTTAGAAAATTAGCCTCTCTCTAGACAGAAGCAACACTCTTTTCTGAATTCTTAACCAATCTCATAACACAACCTTATCAATTCCTTTAAAGTGATAAAACATACGTGCTAGCTTAGAGCCTTACCCTGTAATAAATTTCAAGATCTACCACTTTAAAAAAAAAAAAACTAAATCATCACCGGTCTTCTTCAAATGTCACTTTCGCAGTAGTAGGACGATGGTGTTAATTCACCTTTTATAAACTATTCGCAAAGCAAAAATGGAGACATCCAAGACACCAAACAATTTGGAGATGACAGTGCCTACTATCAATAATATTCGACACGTTTCTTTCGACGTGCCGCTTTTGTGACCTAAAGGCTCTACTCAAAAGCTCTACCGAGTCCCTACTAGAACCCTGGTTCGCTGGCTGGCTGATTCTCCAGCTAAACATCACGTTTGATAGCTCCTGCCTGGAGAGGCGATAGTGTTGATTTTGTTTTTAAAGTTGGTGTCAGAGCAGCTCCAAACTTTTTTCACCATCCCTGCCTGGCTGCCAACTGGAGCTCTCCGTTCACTTCCTCACAAACTTGAACCACCCCCAAACAGTTTGAGAGTAAGCTGGAGTTAGACACCGGCAGGAGCTCACACACTTACAGGAAGGGTTTGACACCGCATAAAACTTTCACTTCTCCTCTCCAACCCTTCCACCCGGGAACTATGGCCCTTCGCTCTTGCTCCCCTAGAATTCCCCTCTCAGGCAGGACAAGGACACGGAAAGCAGGCTGTTCTAATGTCCCCGAAAAGACACCCCCCCCTCCATAGCCCTCTCCCCTGGACTCAAGTCCTGTTCTTTACACAAAAGAGCGGGTCCAGCAAAACTGTCGTGGCCCTACCTAGCCGGCTGCCATCCTCCAACGCACCCGCAGACCCGGTCTCCGGCCGCCCGAGCGGTCTCCACTGGAGGCTTATTGCCCCAACCCGGCCAGACAAAGCCCCGGCGGCCGGGCCGACTCGCAAGCCTCCGGACTCGGGCTGCCGCGCTCTTACCCGGGCCTCATCCAGAGCGACGCCGGCGCCGCCGCTTCCCCCGGCCTTGGCGGCGGGGCAGCTGGCAGCGCGGGTCTTGGAGGAGCGGGTCCGAGAGGAGATGAAATGGCTGCTGCCTCCGGTCGCCCCAGGCTCTACTCCGGCCCCAGGCCCAGGCCCGGGCCCAGGCGACTTAGATCCGAGAAGGCGCAGAGAGCTTTTCCGGGTGTTCACCATGGTCCAGCCAGGAGGACGGGGTCCACGCCGCGCCCGCGGCGCCCGCCGCGCCGGGGAGAGCCGAGGAAGGCCGGCCCGCCTGCCGGGCAGTTAGGGCTAGTGGAGCCGGGCCGGGAAAGACAAGACGACCCGGACTCTGCGCAGCGCAGACGAGGACAGGCGAGGGTAGGGCAGAGGAAGGGAAGTCGGCGTACGAAGGCAGACAGCGGGAGACGGGAGCGATGTTCCAGGCCAAGAGCTCAGACCCTCCGCCGGCTTCAACCTACTCAGCGGGAGCCAAGCGGAGCCGCCATTTCTACCCCTTTCTCTCCCGTTCTCGCTCTCGAGCTCCGTGCGTCAGGGCTCCAGCGCCGCAGGGCCGACAAGACCTCTTCCGACTTGGCCGCTGCGGGGCGCTGCAAGGCCGGCCAGCCTTTCCCTTGCCGGCTCTCCCTCCTCTTCCCCCGCCCCGCCAGGAGGCCCCGCCCAACGGCGCGCCGTCAGCGCTTGGCGGCCAAGGAAGGGACGCTCTGGGCTGTTTCAGCTCTATGGTTTCCAGGTCTGGCGGCCGCCTAGGAAGTGGGGGGATGGGAAAAACCAGAATGCGCGGGACTAGCTAGCGCGGTGTAGTCGGTGGTGGAATATTCGTAGCCTGCCAGGACCGACTACCCCCGCACCCCCGGCATCATCCCAGGTGGCCTCGATGGAGCGAGGAACTACCCGAAAAGGTGGGGGATGGAGGGGGACCGGTGAAGACGAGGGCGCGGTGACCTGAGTTGGAATCCCAGGGATACCCAAGGCAAGACCCTGAACCTGAGTTGTACTTTTCACGGCTGTAAAAATGTGAATGATAACTGAGATAAAATATATCTGTGCCGTATCTGGCACACGATAAGCTTAAGAAAGAGCAAACGCTAGAACCCTGCCTCTTTAAACAAAGCAAGGCACTGACGATTTGTATAACCTTAGTCAGACCTAAGACGCAGTCACGAAGAGTGAATTCTTCGTACTAAAAGCCTCCTTTTAGCACTGCTGCCCCGCCCGCGCACGAATTAAGAATACAAAAAGCTGAATACAAAGATATAAAATGTGTGATTTAACTTTCAAAGAAAAAGATTAAGGGACGCAATTAATATGAAAAGCTATGCTGTAAGTAGAGTTATGTTCATTTCCAAAAATTGCCTCGCTAAGAAAAGTTGAAGACTCAAGAATAGTGCTGTAAAAATCAACAAGCTGCGTCAAAATTAGAAATTCCACCCATCCAAGCTCCCAGTTGGTCAACAAAACTGCATAATGCAATGGGAATGGAAATAGTTTTTCTGTTGGGGAATCAGAATAGATTCCAGGAAAGCAGACAAGTCCCTCTTACACTAATTTGCATACCACACCCTCCCCAGAACACTTCCCCCACAATTTAAAACCGGCCTCTTTGGGTGTGGAGACCTCATAATGGAAGACCTGAGTTTTCCTGTGTCAATTACCTATGAGATCATTGAACAGGGTAAACAATTTCATTTCCTGCAGAAAGTGGCTGGCTTTAAGTAGTATTTGAAGTGTCCTGAAGGGGTGTATGGTATGCAAATTAGCACACAAAGGACTTGTGTGCTTTCTTCTGTGTTTGTATTTGTAGTCCTAAATTGAGAAAGCCAGATTGTTATTCAGGTTATGATAACCTATACCATTTACTAACACCAAATGTTTATTCTAACCCCAATCGCTGTTAGATACTCTGTCAGGCCAGGAAATGGAGATTTTTTGAAAACAACATAGTTCTGGCCCTCAAAGAGGTCACAGACAAGGAGGGAATGGAGATAGGCAAGGAACCAGTAAGCTGCAGAGCCATGTGATTAGAAAGAATAAGGCAGAGGGACTTCCCTGGCCGTCCAGTGGCTAAGACTCCCAGCCCCCAAAGCAGGCAGCACAGGTTCAATCCCTGGTTGGGGAACTAATATTCCCACATGCTGTGCCAGCCAAACGAAAGAAAGAAAGAGAGGGAAGGAGGAAGGAAGGAAGGAAAGAAAGAAAGAATGAGACACAGACCTCTAATTCAAGCAGGGAGCTTCTGAGAGGTGATGACTCCTGAGATGCATCTTGAACCACAAAATGGAGAAAGGAAACCTGGACAAAAGAAAGGAAAGCTTGAAAAAGATATGAAAGAGTTGCTTGTTTTACACAGTGTGACCTGAAGAAAATAAGTGAAAAAATCAATTAAAATCATTTTTAAACTTTACTTAAAACTATATGAGGGCTTCCCTGGTGGCGCAGTGGTTAAGAATCCACCTACAATGCAGGGGACATGGGTTCGAGCCCTGGTCCAGGAAGAACCCACATGCCACAGTGCAATTAAGCCCACGAGCCACAACTACTGAGCCCATGTGCCACAAGTACTGAAGCCCGTGCACCTAGAGCTCTTGCTCCACAACAAGAGAAGCAACCCCAGTGAGAAGCCCACGCACTGCAACGAAGAGTAGCCCCTGCTCACTGCAACTAGAGAAAGCCCGCACACAGCAACAAAGGCCCAACACAGCCAAAAATAAATAAAATAAATAAATTTTTTTAAAAAACTGTATGAGCTGTCAAGATACTAAGGAATACTTAAACCAAAAACTAAGTCACAGCAGGAACTCAGAAAAGCAAGCAAAGCTCTAAAGACAGCTTTCACTTTCAGTACATTTGCTCAACTCCAGTGAATTTGATCTTCTATTTCCTCTGCCTACAGGAGATAGGAAAGACAGAAGACATAGTCCAGAACCTGCTCAAGTTACAGAGTCTAACGTAATAACCCTGCAAAATCCTGGTACAAAAAGGATACACCTAAGTATAAGGGTGAATTAGAAATCAACCAACTGGGACTTCCCTGGTGGCACAGTGGTAAAAAATCCGCCTGCCATTGCAGGGAACATGGGTTCGAACCCTAGTCCGGGAAGACCCCACATGCTGCAGAGCAACTAAGCCCATGCACCACAACTACTGAGCCTGCACTCTAGAGCCCACCACAATTATAGAACCCGCGTGCCGCAACTACTGAAGCCCATGCACCTAGAGCCTGTGCTCCGTGACAAGAGAAGCCACCACAATAGGAAGTCCACGCACTACAACACAGAGTAGCCCCTGCTCGGTGCAACTAGAGAAAGTCCACGCACAGCAACGAAGACCCAATGCAGCCAAAAATACATATAAATTTATAAAAAAAAAAAAAGAAGAAGAAATCAACCAACCAACCTTCCCATCACTAATCTCCAGGAAGCTGCAAGGAGAACTGCCTTTCCCAACATTTACACTAAGAATGAGAGGGGAAAAAAAAAATCCCTTAAGAATTCAAAACAACAAATGGATCCTCAGATTTACAGCCTAAAGTCACCAAATCTGATAGGTATGAAAAACCTCTGGACGATAATTTAAATAGGCTTAAGTCAAAAGTGATCCTAAGCACAAAGCAAAGGCAAATGTAAATTATCTCCAAAAGAATGCAGCTTCAACAGGATATGCAAAAACTCATGAATATGACTCAGTTAAAAACAAATCATCAAAAATAGCTAACACATACACACACAAAAAGCCAGCCAGCACAAAAGAATAGACAACAGAATGAGACCCACAATTTTATATTCAGATATGTAATATACGTCAAAGATTAGAAAATATTAATAAGCAAAAATGACAGTAAATTTTAAAAGAATGAGATAGAACATATAAAAATAAAAAGATTAGGGCTTCCCTGGTGGCGCAGTGGTTGAGAGTTCGCCTGCCGATGCAGGGGACGCGGGTTCGTGCCCCGGTCCAGGAAGATCCCACGTGCCGCAGAGCGGCTACGCCCGTGAGCCATGGCCGCTGAGCCTGCACGTCCGGAGCCTGTGCTCCTCAACAGAAGAGGCCACAACAGTGAGAGGCCCGCGTACCGCAATAAATAAATAAATAAATAAATAAATAAATAAAATTAATTGGGGCTTCCCTGGTGGCGCAGTGGTTGAGAGTCCGCTTGCCGATGCAGGGGGCACAGGTTCGTGCCCCGGTCCGGGAAGATCCCACGTGCCGCAGAGCGGCTGGGACCGTGAGCCACAACTACTGAGCCTGCGCGTCTGGAGCCTGTGCTTTGCAACAAGAGAGGCCCCAACAGTGAGAGGCCCGCGCACCGCAATGAAGAGTGGCCCCCGCTTGCCACAACTAGAGAAAGCCCTCGCACAGAAATGAAGACCCAACACAGCCCAAAATAAATAAATAAGTGAATAAATTAAAAAATATAATAAATTTAAAAATTTTTTAAAAAAGAGGATATATAGATGGAAAATAAGCATACTGAAAGTTTTCAGGGGACTTCACTGGTGGCGCAGTGGTTAAGATGCCACGCTCCCAATGCAGGGGGCCTGGGTTCAACTCCTGGTCAGGGAACTAGATCCCATGTGCATGCCACAACTAAGAGTTCACATGCCACAACTAAGGAGCCCGTGTGCCACAACTAAGACCGAGCACAACCAAATTAAATAAATAAATTAAATATTTGAAAAAAAGAAAGATTTCAACATCATTAACCAATAGTGAAATGCAAATTGAGACCATGATGAGTTATTATTACACACCTGTTAGAAAAACTTAAAAAAATAGTAACAATACCAAATGCTGGTGAAGAGGCAAAGAAACTGGATTATTCATTCATTGCTGGTGAGAATGCAAAATGATACAGCAAATCCCAATCTGAAAAGCAATTTGATGGTTTCTTAAAAATTTAAATATACACTTAACAATACAGTCCAGCTATTGCAACCCTGTGTATTTATTCCAAAGAAATTAAAATTATATCCACATAAAAACCTGTAGACCATAGTTCATTGCAGCTTTATTTGTAATAGCCAAAAAAAGTCACTCATAGGTCAAAGGTTAAACAAACTTTGGTACATCCAACACGGAATACTACTCAACAATAAAAAGGAATTAACTAATAATATATACAAAAATGTATGAATCTCAAAGGTATTACACTTAAGCAGAAGGAAGGAAATCATATATATGACAGCATAAAACAAAATAGAAAGCAAATAATAGAGAAATTCAAAATCAAAAGTTGATTCCTGGGAGTTCCCTGGTGGTCTATTGGTTCAGATTTGTCACTTCTACTGCAGAGGCCCAGGTTCAATCCCTGGTTGGGGAACTGAGATCCCACAAGCTGTGTGCCACGCCCAAAATAAAATAAAAAATAAAAAAGGTTCATTCCTGTAAAAAGGAAAAAAAGGAGAGAGAAAGAGAGAAAGGAAAGATAATCCACTAGCCAGACCAGTCAGAGGGGGAAAAAAAGCGAGAAGACCCAAATTACAAATTTCAAGAATGGAGTATAGACATCACTCAAGATCTTAGACTTCAAGTAGCAAACTATTTTCTTGTTA